GGGGTGTCAACAGACAAACTGATACACGCACTTGTGGAGAGGCATGGAGGGGTGTCAACAGACAAACTGATACACGCACTTGTGGAGAGGCATGGAGGGGTGTCAACAGACAAACTGATACACACACTTGTGGAGTGGCATGACTACCCACACCATTGGGCATATGATGCTAGACTCACTTATTTATAGATTAAATGTTACAACTTTTGGGTGATATGGCCAACATTGTGGTGGTCTCCTTTGCTTCCTAGTGTATTACCTGATACCCATTTTGACCTGGGAGACAAAGGTTAATTTTGGGGAAAAAAAATCTTCCTTAATATATATTTGACTCGAGGATATTTGGAATGTGTCTAGTCACTATGCCACAGGTAAAAAAAAAGAAAACAGACAACATTCAGACAGAGGCCAGTAAGGTGAAGAGTACATTTCTCATAAGCTGGCAAAGAATAGGAAGGCTTAATGTGGGTTGAGGGTTTCATTGGGAGTTCACAACAAGTGTGCTATCTACACAATGAAGTTTTGCTACAGTGTACCACTGCTGCATTTGAGAATATCACATTGTGAGGCCCCAATATCTTCCATCCTGCAACTCTTGTAACACAGTCCAAACACTGAGAAACAAGGCTAGGGTGTCATGTTAAAAGACACAGCAGAAGTATAGGTTTCACAATTACCAGAGCTATGTAGCTTTATTTACCACTCAAACATGCCAGAAGGAACAGGGGTAGATAAGACAGTGTCTGTTGTGTCCCCTCTTTGGATTGCAGGGACCCATTTATTGAGGGGGGCATATATCAACTTTCTCTCTAACATACAAGCCACAATTGGCAACTAATTAGGGGTTTGTTGAATCTCATGTACAGATATCCCAGCCTTTTTTGTAAAGCACAACACAACGTGCCAACAGCCCTTTAAGGACAAACACAGAAGTCTTTTAAAATGTATGCAGTGAGATAATATATTATGTGCATATGTGTGTGAGAGCCGGTAAGTTTCTATATGTCATTGCTGTTACATTTGAGCTAATGTGATGTTGGCCATCACTAAGCCTATTATTGTATGTCATGTTCAGAATGTAAATAATGTACATACTTCATCTATATTTTGGTGGGATATGTTGATTTTGCAACTTGTCATTTGTAACTTTTGTAGCCGAGCTTCACGTTTACTAATGATGAATTAACTTGTCGTCTAAACAATTACATATACTCAACTCATTTTTCATGATCCATCAAAAAGTAAAACTTGTCTTCCTGTGTATACCAGTTCTGAAACTGTTTAGCCAGTTGCAGCACTAAAAGGTCTCCAAAGCAAAATGGTAAAGTTGTTTTATTCTGCACGTGAAAGTTGTAGGGACTCTTGTCTTTTGCTTTGTTGGTGCAGATGTATTGGAAATCCCTGGCTATGGTCTCTGGGGTTTGGAATCTCTCATGCTTTGTGCAATGCTGTCAGCCAACTAAGATACAACCATAATGGATAGCACTGGTGCAGTGAATCTTCCTGCCTTTTTGACCTTCTGCAAACAATGTTTGATTTCTGTGATTAGATAGTATTTAAGAATAATGCTAATCAAATCAGACCAAGCAAGTTATTATGTGCCTCAGAACAGGACAGTCGACTTGGCAGCCACATGTACACACATTTTAAAATTGGCGAAATCAGCCATGTGCACATGTGGATTGGCACCTGAGACAACAGATCACATCCTCCGAGGCTGTCCTAAATACAACATATCAAGACAAAACTTTTGGCCAAGAGAAACATCGGTGCAAGTCAGACTTTACGGGTCGCTGAGTGAATCACAAAAGACATTAAAATTAATACTAGAGACAACATTGCAGATATAATTGTTTTCAAGTGAATCAAAGAAGGAGAAATAGTTGACTTTTTGCATTGATTGCAGTGGAATGTGCTGGACCTGATCACTGAACTATTGATTGCAGTGGAATGTGCTGGACCTGATCACTAAACTATTGATTGCAGTGGAATGTGCTGGACCTGATCACTAAACTATTGATTGCAGTGGAATGTGCTGGACCTGATCACTAAACTATTGATTGCAGTGGAATGTGCTGGACCTGATCACTAAACTATTGATTGCAGTGGAATGTGCTGGAACTGATCACTGAACTATTGATTGCAGTGGAATGTGCTGGACCTGATCACTAAACTATTGATTGCAGTGGAATGTGCTGGAACTGATCACTGAACTATATCTGTGCCTTCTGGATTCAGCAAGCATTATTTATCAGTTTGCAACCCCAGGAAAAAACATACTCTGGTAAATAGGGAAAGTTGGTTCTGGTTGAGGAATCACCACTACGTTCTAGACACCTAGTCAGTAAATCCATCAGCATGCAGGGGAAACCTAAGGCAGGACTGCAAATGGTGTATTGAAAGACTTGGTTATATGAGAGCCATTGAACAAGTGACAGCTTGGGACTGTGCACGTGCTCCATAATTCTGAGATAGCCAGTTCAATCAAGTTAGAGTAGATTTTCAGCAGACCACTTTGCATTGATTTCAACTGTGGTATTAGGCCTTGACTGTCCAGAAGGCAGTGGCAAACTACTGAATATAAAATTGAATGGGAGCAGGCCATGAGGCCGACCAAGAAGATGGTGGAGAGATATAGATGTAGACCTACAAACACTTGGAGTGACTTGTGGAAAGAAAAGCCAATCCCAGAGATGAAGAAATGAGTAATAAACCTCAAGAGTGTGGCATGCTGAAGATCTGTATGATACATCAACAGATGTCATAACATGACTGGAGGCTCAGTTACAGGCTCACCACACAAGTCTACCACACAGTATGCTTGTGAGGCAGTATGCTTGTGAGGCAGGTTGACAGTACACGCATACAATTCATTGTTCAAGCAGATCAGGTGTTTGCATCGTTTTATAATCGCAGACTGTATGTGTGTATATAATTTCTATATAACAACATATTTGAGTGTGCTCATGAGCAGACATGAAACTGCTCCAGACATACAGATAGTAGTTTCAGTGCGCTGTGTGCGACTCACAGAGTTAAAAACTACACTGGAGTTTATCAGATTTGACGACAAGTTTTAAAATATAATCAATCATACATACTTGCCCCATAACCTGCTGTAGGAGCCGGGGAAGCTAGATGCTCACACTCCTGTCCACAAGTCTTGGGTTTGAATTCACATCAAGATTGATTTTTTTCTTTAGAATAGACTAGTTCCCATGTAGACCCAGCCTGAAAGGTACCATGTAATATCCTGGGAAGTCAAGGGCACCAGTGTAGTGTGGACTGCATCACCCACTATGAGCCAATGGGTTCAACACAAAAATGAGTTTAGCCCAATGCACCACTGATGTTGAAACGTTGCTCTTTAAAGGGGGCAGAGGGACAGAGAGAAACAAACCAAATGTAAACAGCAATACCTTGCCATTAGAATCTTTTCTGGATGAATGCAGTATACACCAGTTACCATTTTATTGTTATAAGTACCAGTTAGCAGAGCGAAAGAAGAGTTAAAAACTGAAACCCATGTAAATGCTAAAGGATACCGTAGAATAGTTTCCCAGTATGGAATGTGGGAAGAATAAACAGTCTTTTCCCAACAAGCATGTCACAATAGTCAACTAATTGTGGGTTTTATAGTTGAAGTTCTTCTACCTGAGATCAAGGAACCAACAGTCTGCATTCAAATAAGCTAATCTGTAGAATGTTATCTGGAACAAGATGGTTGAACATCCAGAACTTTCTGTTGAAGTTTAGTCAGTAAATGCAAAGAAGAAGAAATGTATAGCAAGTTGCCTGGTACAGAAACAATTCAATATGCCCGTGAAAAGGAAAGAAAGACAACAGAATAGAACCTAGTAAAAAAGGCCGGCACTATTTATTATTACAGAGAACTGTTAAAACTGTTGCAGCGGTTAAATATGAATTAATACGCTGTTGCAGCGGTTAAATGTGAATTAATACGCTGTTGCAGCGGTTAAATATGAATTAATACGCTCTTATTTGCAGGCTGTTTTCACAATTCTCAGAAAATAAGACATCTGATATGCTGAAAAGAAATGAGTCAGTGAACAATAAACACTTGTTTTCAATTTGTGAGTCAGTAAACAATAAACACTTATTTTCAGTTTGTGAGTCAGTGTTTAAAACATACATCTTTATTGATGTTGTTTTTATTATACATGATTTTTAAAAAAATGTACTGCAGGATTATGGATGTACAATTAGACAGTTACTGTTACCATCAGAATTGGAACTTTTTGCCTGCTGCTGAAGATGGGGACTGAATACTTATGGGAGTGTCCTGAGTGCTATGATGTTGATTCGCAATTCAATATTTTCATGTCAACAATCACTGGCGGTCTACTGTATGGAGACAGACAAACAAAGAGCACCTATAAAAGACGATAATAAAGCAGACACACTGAAGAGAATTGACCCGCAGTGGAGATGTGGGTGACCCACAGTGGAGATGTGGGTGACCCACAGTGGAGATGTGGCTTTTTGAGAAGTGCACAGAATGTCATGGAATTCTGGGAAAACAAAGGAGGCAGTACTTCTTGAAACAGTTGTTGCCATGGAGCACTAGTCCAGAGGTAGCATGTCTGCGAGTAGTTTACAATGAATCATTAGCTTTTGCATTCACTGGATTTCTTTTCTATTATCCCCAAAGTTTCTTCCTTTCTCCCCTCCCAGTTGACTGCTGTTTACTTGTTACCAGAACCAATATTACTGTTCTTTAAACAAACTTATAAGTATGGAGTTTTTAGAAACATCTGAATAGCATACTGCCACCATGTATATCCTGTTGTTTTTACTAACATCTGAATAGCATACTGCTACCATATATACCCTACTGGTGTGCTTCCTAAGTTCAAACTACAGAAACCTTAGAAGACACCAATTGCTGTTTTTCTGTGGATCTCTGGTGCCAGATAGTTCTCTCTGCTCAGGCAGGTCGGTCTTGCGCCAACTCTTGGACACATCAAGTCTCAAAAACATCAGCTGTTGAGTCTGTGAGATATTTCCTGAAACAAGCATCAATGACAGCTGTCATTACCTAAACAACTCTATAATAGACTTCTGTCAGTCCACAATAATTATTAAAATGTATCTTCTTCAAAGAAATACTATTCAAAATGCAATCTTGAACCAGGGATCACCAGAGGCCTGAGTTGCAGTGAACCATCAGAAATAGACAAGATCATGAATACAATACAACTGGCAGTGATCTGCTTCAGTTGGCTCCAGGGCTGCCACATAAATAGCCATGCCCTACATAATAACAGGTTAAATAATACCATATACATCCTCATGACTGGGAAGGTATAACAGAAGTAAAAACTAACCTTGTGCTTCATTAACTATACAAAAGCGTTTCACTCTCTGAAAATAATCAAACTACCAGGCAAATTAAACACTGATGGAAACGATCTACAAATAATAAAGAATATGTCCCGGCAGGAAACAGCAGCTGTAAGAATTAACAAAACCATTTTGGAACATTTCAGTGTATGACAAGGATGTGTACTATCACCTGATTTGCACTCAGTATACTGTGAAGATTTCATGAGTATGCCAGGAATTGTGGTTGGTGGTCAGAAACAACCTACGTTATGCTGATGACAAGACAGAAACAACTACAGGGACTGACAATGTTTGTTAGAAAGTGACAAAATGGGCCTCAGCTTGAATAATAGCAACAACAGAAAAGATGTAATGGTAATATCAAAGAAGGATAGTGCCTAAATGTGTAATAAAAGCTTTGTTTTGGCTGTTTTTCCTAAGGTTTTTGATCATGTCATTGAATATACTGTCTGTTCCTGGTGATTTCCACATTTTCAGCTTTGAAATGGCTAACTCCAGTTAATTAAATGTAATCCGTGTGTCAAGTTCCTCTGGTGTTATTTCTTTCTGACTTGTGTTTTGTCTCTTTTCTTGAATTTCTTGTTTTTGATTTCTCTGAAACTAATTTCAATGTTATCTAAAGCAAAAGTGTCTGCAAAGGGGTTGGCTGCCTGTCTTCCTGTGACCATGTTTCCATCTTTCTGCAGCGTGATTTGAGTCCCGCCCTGTACCCTCAACATTAGTTGGTTTTACGAGCTTCCATAACTTTCTTGTGTCATTTTCAAATACCAGGGACCTTGTTTTCTCCTGCCAGCTGTCCTTTCTAGCCCGCAGCGTTGCTTTTGCATGCTGGTTGTTATTGTGATGTTCATCCTTTGGTCTGGTCTCTGCTTTCTTTCTGCATGTTTCCAATTCCTTGTTGTCTATATTAGTATGGCTTATAATGCTTACAGAAACCTCTTGGTGTTGATTCTCATGTTGCCTGTAGTATACATTTGTTGAATTCTTCAACTACTTTATTTTCTGTTCTACGCTTAGATTTCCAACCAGTACACTGGTGAGGTGCTTGTACATTGTCCAGTCAGCCTTCTTGTAGTTCCACCTTGACAGAGTACTAGTTCACATGACCACCTGCCTCATTATCTAGTCAGTAAGACTGGTCGATAGTCCTAGTTGTTTTCCAAAACGTGTAATGTTCCATTTCGGGTGAAGGGAATGAAACGCTAGGTCTGGCATAGTAGTGATGTGCCACGACCTTGAGTACAATGCGGGTGGATCAGTTGGCCTACTAATCAAAACAAGGCTGCTCTCATTCTACCACTCTTCTAGTTTCTCTCCTCTTTGGTCTAAATGGTCACACCCCAAGCTTTGTGAGTGGCAGTTAAAGTCCCACAAGAATAATCTTTTCTTCTACTGGGATTGTGTCTTATGCCTGGGGATGAATCTTTTGCGCAGTAATAATGGGTAAGTAAGGTGGAAATCTGCTTTTTAAGTTTGTAGTTTCAGAATCTGATATTCTGCTCCATCCATACATACTTCAGTCTGATATTCTGCTCCATCCATACATACTTCAGTCTGATATTCTGCTCCATCCATACATACTTCAGTCTGATATTCTGCTCCATCCATACATACTTCAGTCTGATATTCTGCTCCATCCATACATACTTCAGTCTGATATTCTGCTCCATCCATACATACTTCAGTCTGATATTCTGCTCCATCCATACATACTTCAGTCTGATATTCTGCTCCATCCATACATACTTCAGTCTGGCATGCAGTGATACTATTCCTTATTAGAGTCAGTATTCCTCCTCTTTTTTCTGACTTTTCAATCTGATCTGTAGCACTGATAACTTCTATGAGAAACCAGGAGAATCTGCAACCATGACTAGACTGCAAGAACAGCATGTTCAGAGGGTGTGGCTAGATAAGAGCAGTACGCAGGAAGCCAGAAACCAATATGGGACTGAGCCGCTAAATGCTGCAGGACTTACTGAGGAGGGGATGTGAAAACTTATGGACTGAATGGTGTGATATGCAATGAGGATAATCTGCTGACTAACAAACTAATAGGCTCTAATTTTTTAGACTGTCTTCAGTAGACAACATACTTGTATCTGTTTCTCGTTTTTCTATTTCATTTTTGTTTTTAATTTTCAACTCCCCTCTTAGTTCAGCAGATGCTTTTATTCTCATGTCCCCTGGCTCCACAAAACATCTGAGATGGACCTCCTGTATTTTGGGTTGGGCCTCTTTCAGGTAGAGGGTCCACTACAGGGCAAGCACCCTTAACATTTGGCTGATGGACACATTTTTCCATGGCGAGTGTGCGTGGCATCGTGATTGCGGTGGTGCGCCTCCAAGTTGGTTGCCTTCAGCCAGCTTTAGCACCTTGTTTTGCTAAGGTAGACTGTGATCCTACTCAGGGAGCCATCTGGTTTTATGGTGACAGATACTCGCTGTTGCCACTTCTGTTTATTTAAACAGTGCCGTTAGGAGTTGGACTTTTGCTGTCAGAGGTGATGAGTACTCATGCCTAAGGGGTATCTAGTGAGTTAAGAGCTGATCCCCAACCTCCGTCCCCCAGCTATGACAACTATCTGAAACCACTGTTGGGGCAACTCAGTTTGTGCTGTGTGAGATACTCTTCATACGCAGGCAGCTGTTCTGTGGAGAGTGATCGTCAAACACAGAATAAAACAACGGTGCAATGAAGTGAATACACACAACCAAAAACAAATTCTTCTTTAGCATTCCAAGAACTTTGGGTTCATTGCTGCAGATATCACCTGCCTTCATTCATTTCTCATTGGCCGTATCATTCCAGTTGGTGAATTCAGATGTTAGTAAGTTTGGAATTACTATACCATTATAAGACTTTTATATCAAATACATTCTTACTTGTTGCAACTCAGGTGGAAATTCTTTCATGTTCTTTCCTGCACATTTCAAACAAAACCTCTGGGTGTAAAACAGACTGCAGTCCTGAAACAGTTGTAACACTGAGCTGAAGAGAAGGTGGTTTACTAGCAGGCAGTGCTGTTGTGTTGTGAAGTGTTTTCTTTCTCAACTCTGTATAACATTCTAGATTAGTGGTTCACTAGCAGACAGTGTTGTTGTGAAGTGTTTTCTTTCTCAACTCTGTATAACATTCTAGATTAGTGGTTCACTAGCAGACAGTGTTGTTGTGAAGTGTTTTCTTTCTCAACGATGTATAACATTCTAGATTAGTGGTTCACTAGCAGATAGTGCTGTTGTGTTGTGAAGTGTTTTCTTTCTCAACTCTGCATAACATTCTAGATCAGTGGCTCAATACAATCAGACGGTCACTGGTACCATCGGAATTGGAACTCTTTGCTTGCTGCTGAAGATGGGGACTGAGCACTTATGGGAGTGTCCCGAATGCTGTGATGTCGATTATCAATTCAACATTTGATCAATGGTTCACTAGCAAACAGTGATGTTGTGTTGTGAAGTGTTTTATTCCTCAAGTCTGTATAACATTTTAGACTCTCATAACAGTCACGCATATTGTACAAGGAGTAAATCTATATCTGAATTGACACAAATCGGGAACAGGTGGGAGGTAAATGTTGTGTAAATGATAAGTAAATGGCATGACCAACCACTTACATTTATTCCAGGGGCAACCAACAGTGAACCACTGTTCTACATAATTATTCCTGTATATATATCCCGCTATAAAACAAAATGTGTTTACACTGTCTCCACAATAAAGGTTAACTGCACCCACTACAGTCTTTGGGAATAGTACGACTGGAAACCACAAGTGATTTGTTGAAGAATATCTCTAGAATTTAACTTCACATAACTCTGTTTTTTGTGTAAATGTCTCTTTAACTATCTGTATTCAGGGAACCATACAGGGATGTTTATTGTGTACATGTCTCTTTAACTATCTGTATTCAGGGAACCATACAGGGATGTTTATTGTGTAAATGTCTCTTTAACTATCTGTATTCAGGGAACCATACAGGGATGTTTATTGTGTACATGTCTCTTTAACTATCTGTATTCAGGGAACCATACAGGGATGTTTATTGTGTACATGTCTCTTTAACTATCTGTATTCAGGGAACCATACAGGGATGTTTATTGTGTAAATGTCTCTTTAACTATCTGTATTCAGGGAACCATACAGGGATGTTTATTGTGTACATGTCTCTTTAACTATCTGTATTCAGGGAACCATACAGGGAACATGGTAAATAAAGGCATTAAAACAAAAAGATCCTTGCAGCTTCTAAACGCAGCAGCCTTTACCACCCAAGATGACAATACTTACATTTGACATACAAACACTACACCCACATAAGGAACAGATGCCTCCTACACACACAAAACCACCTGAAGTTGAAAAGGGATCTTTCATAATGTAACAGTCTTCCACGAGCCTGATCAGAAAATTGAAAACAGCCTTATATTATTTGTGAATTTGCTGACATTTTAATTTTAACAAAAATGAATATCTGAATCAGAAAGTAAACAATATAAGAGTTGATGCGTATGCTGCACCAGTTAAAATCCCTCACAAGGGGGAACAGCTGGTGTGCTCCACAGCCTGAGAGTCTTAGCCAATACAGCCCTGAGTCTCCATGACCCTCAACCCACTGTGAGTTTGTTGTTAGTATAGCTGCAGCTCAAGCCAGTGAGAACATTATGATCTCTGTTGCCACCAGCTGCTTTATCTTCCGTGAAACTGATAGCACTTCATTCCACTTCTCTATGTGAAGTATCTTGCGTTGAATTTTCCATCAGTCAGAGTACCAGAGGAAAAGTCTGCTCTGTGTAGGGTTATGATCACACTGGGCCCGGAGTGCAGAGAGTGGCCAGCGGAGGCTACGGAAGTGGAAGTCCAACAGTTGATTCACGACAATTCCTGCCCAGGTGATCTATTATCTATACAGATCATTCAGTGTTGAGAGGAAAGAGAAGTGCCTGGGGGTTCATAGCGAAAGCCAATAGAAAATCTTTAGTGCAAGACAGCCTAGCATATGACACCACAACATCTAGCATGAGAATGGAGGTGGAGGCGATAACTGAAGCTTTCTGGTGGCTGGAGAACAAGATGCATACACATGTCCTAATTGTAACAGACTCTAAAATCATGCTGAGAAAGGACAGGGATGCTTCGAGCAGAGTGGCAAGCTTCACTGGAAAGGTCACAGGTAGAGAGTTTACTTTGGATCTTTTCTCCAGGCTATGCCGGCGTAGTGGGTAATAAACAGGCAGACAGATTGGCTAGATCTGCACCACTGGGTGGTGAACTGATACATGACAAGGCAGATGTGGTCAAAGCCCTTTGGGAACAAGCAACAGAATTAGTAGAGAAAGAAGATTATTATAGCCTGGAGAGAATAAGGCACCTGGGTGTAACCAGAGAGTCTGGCCGGCTCACTACACTCAGAGGAAAGGCAAGACGACATATTTCCAGATTGTGACCGGTACCACCAGTATTGGAAACTCTGTGCTGGCTGGAACTTGTTTAGTTCTCTTCCGTAGCTCAGCAGATTAGTGATTCCAATTTCTATTAGAGTATTTGGCTCTCCTAGCAGATTTAGCCGGCAAGCTAAACTGCTTCGGCCGGCTTAGTGGGGCTTAGTGGGAGTTACGTCCCTTCGCCAAACTCAAAACAAGTCGCGGAAAAAGTCACGAATCAAATGACATACTTACCTATCATCATTCGGGTGCGTGTAGGGTTGCGTATGGTGTCTATCATCGTCCTACAGTTGCGTGTAGGGCTGCTTATTGCGTGTAGGTTGGTTGTTTGCGTAAAATGAGGGGTGGGGTTAGGGGTAGGGTTTAGGGTTAGGGTATAGGGTTGAGGGTTAGGGTATAGGGTTTAGGGTTAGGGTTATGGTTCGATGTGAAAATTTTCATGTAGGAATAGTGGCCGACAATCTGATGCTTGTGGGAGTGGCGCCACTGAAACTCTGCCAAATATGACGCCAATAGCGGGCGGCTGGTGCCCAATCGGTGGCGAATTGTCCGTGTCAGTAGCATCCACCGTCCGTCGACTGTTTGCGCGTGCATGCGACTGTGCACGATTATAGGGAACTACGGCGTCACAATTGTTACATCTAACGCTGCATTTAACCCTACCCCTAACCCTACCCCTCAATTTATGCAAACAACCAACCTACACGCAATAAGCAGCCCTACACGCAACAGTAGGACGATGATAGACACCCTACGCAACCCTACACTCACCCGGATGATGATCCAAGTATTTCTATGATACCATTTAATTCCCTCTATTCTGCACACTTTGTCACTTCTTTGTACATCGGCCGTGCCGTAAACTCCAGGGGAAAGTTGGTTGTTGTTCGTCCATTTGGTCCTTGGTTGTGTGCCAGGGCCTGAGTTTTGCGTGCATATCCGTTTTACTGGCTTATTTGGGTGCAGCTGTTTGGTTCTTGCCGCTCGCTCGGCGGATGCACTCTGACTTCGTAAGAGACACCAAATTAGTAATTACTACAAAGTCGACTCCAACGACATGAGGTCGCATTGTTTTCGCAACAATGTGACACAGGAACCCACACGGGGTAATTATTTATATAAATCTTACTAGGGTGTTAATATAACTTATAAATAATCGTACATGATGTTCTTTGCAAATGGTGGTTTTCTTCCTTGATATTGATATTCCACGACAAAATCACAAGACGAACAGGAGAAGGTTTTCCCGAGAGTATCAGCAGCCGCCATCAATCATGTTTTGGGTAAACATACGACCAGGGCTGCCGAAAGTTGTTGGCGAATGATACCAAATTTAAAAAGGCACCAAAATAAAACAATGTTTGGCTATCTTCCGAATACGGTCCCAAAAATTATCGAGGCCGAAAATATACCCCCTAACAGGGCCTCAGTCACATGTAAATTGCGGACTTTTGCCACCGCCGAGTGTATCTCTCACGCAGCTACGCGCGGCGTGGATTGGGGCTAAACTGGATGGCTGGGACTCACGAGCAAATGAAATGAAGGAAGCTGCAGGAGATGCGGTAGCTGCTGCTCGTGAGTCCCAGCCATCTAGTATAGTCCAAATAAGTCGCCGGAAGTTCACTGACTGAGGTCCTGTTAGGGTATATTTTCAGCCTCGATAATTTGGGACGGTTATTCGGAAGACAGCCCTTATTTTTTAAATTGTCAATCAAAAAGTTACTACAAAGTCTTAAAACACACACACACGTCATCTCATCATGTGCCCTGCCAAATGGCGTAGGCGCTCATGCGTCTCCACAGATCACGATCCCTGGTTGCCTGGAACAGCTCTCTTGATGATATCCCTCCATGCAATCGTTTTAGCCCATTCAGCATCGTCTCTCCTGGTCTGCCTCTACCCCTTTTTCCTCGAGTCTTTCCAGTTGTCAGAATGTTCTCCAATGTCTCTCTTCTCATTATGTAGCCAAAGGATGAGGCAAATCTGGAAATCCAACAATTACTGCGGAGGAACGAAACTCCGACTCTACAAGAGCATCATTTTGCCAGTTCTTCTTTATGGAGCGGAATGCTGGAGAATGACCAAAAACGATGCACACAAGCTGTTCACCTTCCACCACACATGTCTACGTAGAATTATCAAAATTTTCTGGCCAGATACAATCTCAAACACTAAACTACTTCAAGCCACAAACCAAGAAACTTTAGACAGTATGATTACTAAGAGAAGATGGAAATGGCTTGGCCACGTTATGAGAATGACTTCTGATATACCTGCCAAAACAGCTCTCACATGGACACCAGAGGGAAAGAGAAAACAGGGGCGCCCAAAAACAACATGGAGACGAACGATGGAAAGTGACCTGAGTGCGGCATCTTTGACATGGAAAACTGCACTGAAGATTGCACAGGACAGGAAAGCATGGAAAGTCCTCTCTGAAGCCTCATGTGCCACTGGGCATAACGAGAACTGATGATATATTATATATATATATATATATATATATATATATATATATATATATATATATATATATATATAGTTAGTTAGTTAGTTAGTTAGTCTTTCCTCTTGTGTCGAGTGCGGCACATAGGGCAGAGGTCATGACTCTCCATGCATGGCGGTTCGTTGCAATCTGTTGTAGGTCTTGGATGTTTGAGTGGCCCATGAGTGAGCCTTCCCTGTTGATAGTTCTTCGTAGGGTTTCCCTTGGTCTTCCACGAGATCTTTTCCCCTGTGGTGTCCAAATGAGGGCTTGGTAAGGAAGTCTTGATTTATCCATTCTAAGGGCATGGCCGACATAGTTCCAGCGACGTTTTCGTATAAAATTAGACACATACACTTGCCTGGATTCTTGTCTTATTTGTGTATTGGTTCGGAAATCTGACCATTTGAAATTTAGTATTCTTCTAAGGCATTTATTTTCAAAACTGTCTAATTTTGTGTCTAGAGTTTTCGTTGATTTCTAGCTCTCGCATCCATAGGTTAGTACTGGAGTCACACAAGAATTGAAGATCTTGAGTTTTGTGTGTTAGCTAAGTGTCTTTGATGTCCAGATGTTAGACAGTTTATTGAAGGCACTAGATGCCAGTGCTATTCTAAATGGTATTTCTGGTGCGGTATCTCCTGTAGATGACATCCTGCTCCCTAGATAAGTGAAACTGTTGACTTTTTCAAGGCTGTTGTTGTTTAGCGTGATATCAACTGAACTGTTGGTAAGGTCTAGAATTTTTGTTTTTGTGGTGTTAATTTGGAGTCCAATTTGTTCTGAGAAATTCTGGAGTCGATTGATTTTTTCTTGGGCGTCTGTGTGTTCTGAACTCAGGAGTGCTATGTCTTCGGCGAAGTCTAGGTCTTCCAGAATTTTGTCAACCCATGTAATGCCTAAATTTGCGATATTTATGCACTTGCGCATGACCCAGTCGATTGCTATACCAAAAAGCATCGGAGATAGGACACAGCCTTGCTTCACTCCTGTTTCCACCGGGAACCAGTCAGAATTGCCGGAATCAGTTCTTACACAGCATCGTGTTTCATTATAAAAAGATTTTATGATGTTGATATATTTGATGGGGAAACCATAGATGTTAAGCAATTTCCAGAGTGTTGGACTATGGATACTGTCGAAGGCTTTTTGAAAGTCGACAAAGTTGATCAATAATTTCGACTGGAATTCTGTAGAATCTTCAACAATTATTCTAAGAGTAAAGATGTGGTCTATGCATGACCGCTTGGATCTAAAACCGGCTTGTTCTTCCCTTAATCTTTCATCTATGGATTTTTTCAATCTTTCTAGTAGCATACTAAAAATAGTTTCCCTGATATCGAAAGCAGGGTGATGCCTCTCCAGTTGTTAAAATCGGATAAATCACCTTTTTTAGGTATTTTGAAGATTACACCATCTTTCCATTGTTGTGGTGGGTATTCGTTTTGCCAGACTTCATCCATCAGCTGGAGCAAATGTTGCAGGCACACCATCTGTTTCCCCTGAGAGCTGGATCTAGCCCAATGAGTACTTGTACCAGTAGGGTGAAAGGAGCGCGCTCAGGTCGTAAGTCATTTGACCAGCAAAAAAAGTCTACAGTCAATTCTGTTGTGCTTCACCGAAGAGGCACAACATAAACGGATCTAAAGGAGACAACATCGACTAACCCCCCCCCCCCCCCCTTTTCCGAGCCTAAGTGTGGACCTACATGCCATTAGACAAACTGTCTGCGGGATACACAGTCACAAGCGTGGAATGTCTGGTTATCGGGAGGGGCGTCACCAGGCATAAGCACTTCCTCAGGATATAGCCTACCTCTTCCCTAGCAAGCAGGCTTTACTAGGGTGACCGTTTGCTTTCTGCATTCAGATAATTTGTGTCTATGGATTTTGTACTTGACAATAAAAAGAATCACCTTTACGGAGTGCGATCTCTGTGCTTGATACATCCATCCTCACGGAGTGCGTTCTCTGTGCTTGATACATCCATCCTCACGGAGTGCGTTCTCTTGCTTGATACATCCATCTTCACGGAGTGCGTTCTCTGTGCTTGATACATCCATCTTCACGGAGTGCGTTCTCTGTGCTTGATACATCCATCTTCACGGAGTGCGTTCTCTGTGCTTGATACATCCATCTTCACGTGGCAACGTATAGAGTAGGAAGGGGAGAAGACTAGGAAATGGAGAGACAGGGCTAAAAATAGGCGAAAAACGGAGCGCCTGGGTTAAAAGAATATTAGAGTTGGTTACTGGAATTGTAGTAGAGAGGACCTGTACTGGAGAGGCTGATTTATGGCTTTGATATCATCATGCTGCAGGAATTAAACATAGATATGAGTGCCCTTGATGCATCAGTTGTATAAATCCTAGTGGACGAGGAAGACATGGGCAATGTCTGCATGTGAAGAAGGGGGTGAAGCATGCTGTGCCTGACATGGGTCAGTGGAATCGAGGTACACCAGAGATTCAGAGCAGATGATCTGGCTGGCAGTGCGATTATCAGGAATGGGCCGTTTCAGCTTCATGGGAAATGATTGTTCACTGAATAGACTGCACACCCCGGGGTGTACCTATAGGGACAGCGAGACAGGGCAACCATACAGGAGCCACTCGTCGTTTCATCAACCAGAACAGAATGGGAGTTATTAGCCTAAAAGCACTTGGAGACATCGGATAATCAGGAGGAGATTGGAGCACTTATGGTCATGTCCGATGTGCGATGAAGATCTTTAAATGAACAATGAACAGATATATAATGGGAGCACCCTCTGGAATTTATTAAATATTTACATACTATGGACTTCCTTGCCTTAAATAAACATTAGCACTGTCTCAAAAGAAATAGAGAAAATCCCTGTTAATATGCGTCTCTTTTGTGGGGATTTCAGTGCGCGGAAGAGACCATGGACCAGTATTGGGGGAATAGACAACGAAATGCCCTAGCTGGGGCTATGGTGGATGCAGCCATAATATATATAAACGACAGTTGACCAACTAGAATGGCACCGTGACTTGATGATACTGGCAGATAAGGCTCTTGGCTTGGCGGTTGTTACCCAGTCAGAACTACTGGACACACAATGGAGTCTTGATCATGGTTATGATTTGATTTGATTCAAAGAACCGACATCACAGCACTCGGGGCATTCCCATAAGCGCTCCATCCCTATCTTCAGCAGCCAGCGAAGAGTTGCGATACTAATGGTGCCAGCAGCATTTTGATTGATTGCATCAATCTCAGCAGACTGAGTTGATCCATCTGCTCCTCCTAACCGTACACGCTCTCCCACAAGGCACTAACCACGTCATGTATCAGTATTCCACCAAGTTGTGCAGAGCCAGCCAGTCTGTCCACCTTTAGTCTTGTTCCAGAACCTGATTGTTACATGCACATCTGTTTCATATTTCAAGCCCTCCTTCACAAGCGGACATTGCCCATGTCTTCTATGATGTCCAGCAGGGTTTACGTAGCTGACATATCCAGGCCAATGATATTTATCTGCATTCAGCTCCTGAAGTATGATTACGTCACAGTCGTAAATTAACCTCTCTAGTATGGGCCCTCTCGGGCACTACGACAATTCCAGAAGCACAGTCTCACATGGTTCAACCCCAGCTGCTATGGTTTTCGCCTTAATCTCCTGCCATTTAATTTTTCTGCTTTCTTCTGTCACCATTTCCTCGTTCTCTTCTATACTTCACTCCCTCTTTGCTCCTCGCTGAAGCTGACGTCAAGCGCAGAGCACGTGCCCCGTAGCTCCAGCAACAATTCTTATTGAAAA